ATATATATATATATATGTGTGTATAAAACCATTTCAGTCTGGACTAAAGTAGCAGGATAAACACCATCTTACTCAGTTATTCGTTCAAAAGCATGGTACTAGTTGTAGACAGAATTATGCCCACTTTTTCCATCATTTGTTAAGAAACCATAAAGAAGTGTAAATTAATAATTGAGCCATATTTAAATAGTTATGGGAGCTGCTTACCCTCCTGCCTTTGGGTCCCCTAATGCCAGCAGATCCTCGCGAACCAAGAGGCCCCTGCATGTGTGAGAAAACGTGTTTTTTTGCGTTTACAGAAACTGATGCAATGGTCACTTTTCTTATCTTCAATAACAGTAGGCAGGTAAATGTGCAGGGAATAACAAAAGTGACATAAAGTACAATATTTGTTTTCAAGCCTTCCATTTACTGAGCATTTTAAACATTTTATAACATATTAAAGTTGCTTTCAGTGGCCTTTCCGAGCTCAGAAAAGGCAGCTCCAGAGCAGCAGCTAAAATGAAGGAGTGGAGTGAGTTTCACATCGTTGTTAAGCCCGGGTTGGTTTTCAGCTCAGCTCTGATAATGATGAACTTACTGGGATCCCCTGTGGTCCAGGTGGTCCTGCCTCTCCAGGTATTCCAGTGTGACCCTGATGGACGCAACGATAAGTAAACTGATGAACAATTATAAAATCAACTCTTTTTGAACAAATCACACCCAAATCCCTTACAGTAGACCTGAGTGCTCCCTGTTATGAGAGGTGGGGTCCAGACTTACTCCTTACCATCGGACCTGGTTCACCTGGAGGCCCAGGGACACCCGTTTTACCTCGATCCCCCTGAGGAACCAAACCATATTCAGTTCATTTTGAACATACTGGCTTTCAAAATGTCCCACTTTGTAGCGTTGTGCTTTGAAGAGCTGAAACTAAACGAGATGAGAGTGTTTGTGACCTTTTCTCCGGCGATGCCCGATTCTCCAACAGGCCCGATGAAACCTGGCAGCCCCTGAAGGAGAGAAAACACAGCATCTCCTGTTTGTCTTGGATTCCAGTTTAGTGAACTTCATTAAAAGCTTCTCGTTAATGGCTGCTCATCTCGGGGGCTCCGAGAAAGCAGACGAACACAACGAGCATCAAACGTAAATGAGAGGAAGAGGAGAGGAATCCTTTACCTTCTCGCCAAGCTTCCCGACCTCGCCAGTCATTCCCATCTCGCCCTACAGCAAAGCAGCTGAATTAACATTTCATAAACTTATTCAGGCGTTTCGTTTTTTTTTTTTTTTTCAGTTCACTTCTGTTGAAACGGGCTTAGAAGTCAGTTCCCCTGTGGTAGCGGAGAATTAACATCTAATTTACACATATTCAGATGAAACATTATCATAAAACAGAACCAGAGAGAGAGTGTGTGTTCGTTTAAGGATGACAGGGGCTCAGCGGTGAAAGTGTGACTGTTAAGTCTGACCTTGGGTCCATCTGGGCCTGTCGGTCCAGGGAATCCCTGCCTCCCAGGCCTGCCCTGAACAGAAAGGGAAAATGAGAGACGTGTACAGCAGTTCCACAGAATTAACAATAAACTCTGTTCGTCCTGTGAAAGGTTCACGGTGTCAGTCTGATGCCCTCTAAGAGGCTGGCGCTCAGAACGAACCAAAACCTGATCCTAAAAACAGAGCCTTTGTGAAATTTGTTGATCCAGAAAACAAAGTGAATGACCCAACATTAAACGGTTCTCACCACTGATGAAACCTTTTGGTCGTTTCTGTGTATTTTTGTAGTTAGACTGAAGTGAACCTCAGCAAAAGAAGAGGAAAGTTTCCTACAGTTTCCTCAGTTTAACACTGAGTTCAAACACCTTTGAACAAACATACACATTGTGAGTTTTAATTATGATCAAACAGTTCAAAACTTCCCTTTTATGAAGTCAAATCAGAGTTGTAAGGTGACAAAGTACAAATACTTTGTTACTTAAAGGGCCGATATTATGTGTTTCTCAGGCATATGTTTAAATATTATACCATAATAAAGTATCTATGTCACCTTTAGTTGTTGTTAAAACAGTTTTTATGTTTAAATAGAAAATAAATTTATCTTCTCATCACTTCCTCTTTTAAAAGCCTTGAAATTGACCTCTGTCTCTTTAAGAACCACCTTCGCTTCTGTCTCGCCCATTTCGATGGGTGTGTGAGTGTGTGTGTGTGTGTGTGTGTGT